TTTTAACAAAAATCGCTTCCTTTACTCCCCTTTCAAACCATCTCTTTTCTGTTCCTAGGATTTTTACTTGTTCATCTTCAATTGTGTGGTTTGTTTCTTTTAAGTGTGCGTATACTGCACTTTTGTTATCATTGTTTTTCCATTTGTGTTGACATTGTACATTGGAGAAACCAAACAAACACTCAAGAAAAGACTTTATCAACACAAATGGAAAAACAATGATAACAAAAGTGCAGTATACGCACACTTAAAAGAAACAAACCACACAATTGAAGATGAACAAGTAAAAATCCTAGGAACAGAAAAGAGATGGTTTGAAAGGGGAGTAAAGGAAGCGATTTTTGTTAAAAAATTTTCACCCTCTCTGAACCGTGAAGGAGGTATCAGATTTAACCTGTCTCCTATTTACAATAACTTGTTGACCAGTAAGGGACATAGACATGCTGATCAGGCTAACTGAAAGTAGCTATTCAGCCTTAGCCCAAACAATAGGCCTAATCAAGACCCAATGATAGGGAGTTTAGAAACCAATGGGCCTCTTCACCATAGGGGCGTGACTAACCATCCCCACCCAGTCCTCAAACAGGCCACGCTCAGCCTTTTAGCGCAGAGCAACTTCCCGGAGTCTTCACGGAGACTTCAGGGTTGTCTACCGCTGACGAAGCTTCTGTGAGAGAAGCGAAACGTCCTTTTTTGTTTTTTTTTTTTTTTTGTTTTTTGTTTTTTACCCACAGGTACAGATGACGACTGACAGAACCCTTTCTACGATGGAACCGAAAAAAAAAAAAATCTAAAAATATACATGAGTACGGAGCAGAATGAAATCAACAGTCTATGTGCCAACTGTATGAATGTTAAGTACAAGTTTAACATCTATGTTCAGTTGAGAAAAAAAAAAATGAAAATACCCATAAACTGTTTTCCGACAAATGCAGATAAGACTAGCGAACAGAAGCAGAGCAAAGGGACTGCTGAGTATTCGGAAGCAACACGGAATTTGCAACATTTGTGCTTGATGGATCAGCTTATTACCTCTTTTGATTTGTCTTGCTTGCATATTAAAAAAAATACAATTTAAAACTGACAGCTATTAGAGTTATAGTATTAACACTTCAATACAAACAAGTCATGCTACCAAAGTAGCAGCTGTGGCTAAAGTCGGCTTGTTTTTCAAATGCATGTCAACTTGGTCTTGGGAACGGGGGGGTGGGGGGCGTTGATTAGTGAACAGTATTGAAATCTCGCTCGTTTTAAAATGACAAAAGCCTCTTTCAATCGTGACGCTTGAGTACATAGCATGTAAGTGCTAGCATACCCGGTGCTAGCGTTAGCTTAAAAGCTGGGGTCTAACCGGGTTCTCATTTGTCGTCGAGACGAAAACAAAGACGTGTTGCACCAGAGCTGGTGTAAATGTGTTCCCACAGAGCAAATTTTTGGAAGGTTGCGACTTTGGGACATTGCGACATACTGGATCTATCAGGGCCGTGTACAGGCCAATGCCGAGAGTCCACCGCGACCAGCTGTCTGCAGCCCAAACTGCAAAGTGTCCTCCTCGGCTTTCCCGAGACAGGAAAGCAGGAATGCTCCCGAGAAGGACAGAATGTGAGGACGATAATCCAGTAAACAGATGTTTGGGAGATCATGGAAGAATGCTGGCTTGCCCAGAGGACATGGATTACCGGCGCGGAAGCGCTAAGAGGAACTCGGAGGGGCGCATCCATGACAGCGAGTCAACACATAGCAATGTCAAGTCCATGTAAACACAGAATGATCACAGCCTACAGTCCCCAAAATACAGAAAGTGCAAAGTCAACCGTATATTCAGAAGAATGGTGCAGTCAAAAGGTCAAGAAAGAGCAGAGGGGACACATACAGCCACAAAGTAAAGCCGCTCAAAGTTTTAGCTCTATCGGGTGTGCCCAAAAATCCCCCCCAAAAAAACCCATCGATCTCAGGAGTCACCAACCTTATAGAAAACGAAAGCAACATTTTCAAATGATCATGTCAGCGCCATTCCTAGAAAATCACCGTGTCCCATTCCCGGCGTGCTATTTTTAGAACAAGTCCGCGACGACGACTCGTGTGCTACTTTGTTTTAATTATTTTGTTTTGTTATTTTGTGTCGTCGATGCCGTTGAGTTACTGCTCTCCCTTTGCCGATGCGCATTTCAGTTTGGTCCAAGTCTGATAAAACACGCATACGATGGCATTTTTTAAAAAAAGCATAAATTTATCGCAGGTCTTCGCGATACGCATATTGCACGTGCTGACAAGAGAAAAAAAAAGTTTTCTATTCGTGGCAAAAAACAAGTGTTGAGAATGTACTGAATCATGTCGGTAGAGAGCAGAGGGATGATACAGCGACAACGATATCGTAAGAGCTGAGGGAACTCGACAAGCTGAAAGATGAGTGGAAAAAAAAAAAAGGTGCAGAGGTGCCATAACGGACGGTGGCTGCAGAGACGCTTTTCCTTTTGTCTCTCTCGGGTGAGCGAGTTCAACTCTTCTGCTGCTGTAACTGTACACCGAGCGCCAGACTGACAAGTTGACGGTGAGGAAGCCGTCTTCCAACCTGGGCTATTTGGGGCCGCCTACACCTTGTGGAGCCTCAAACACACCCAAGGCAACAAAGTCTTTGAAAAAGACGTCGAAGAGAGGAGGGCCCCGGCACGACCTGGTACCATCCATCAGCCGCAGAAGACAGGTCGCGTCCCTCGGCGGTGGGGGGGTGGGGTAGTGCACTGAGGACATCTGGATGGGAAGCATCTGGCGAGGGGAGCGGGGGACGGGCATGGTGAAAAGGGGGTTCGGCGGGAGGCCGCAACGACACCGCAAACAGGCTGTCATCTGGACCTGTCTAGCGTCACGCAATTTGGGTCGACAGCCGATTGGTGAAGAACCAGGAAAAAAAAAATTGGCCTTCCTTTTTCGATTGTTGCTAAACAACACAAGCGCTTCCGGATCGTTGAAACGTGACTACCACTGATCTGATCTGAAATGACAAGACAAAACCTGCACCGGGCAGACGTACCAGAAAAAGCTTTTCTATGAATTTACTCGCCCCCACCCTCCAATCTCTAAAATCAAGTGGATGTGGTCAATACTTTGTAGTGTGAGCCGATCTTGAGCCGGCACTTGATTGAGAAGCGAAACTCCATGATCGTTATTTTTTTTGGGGGGGGGGGGCTTTTCTCCCAGGTCTGCCGGCCTCCTAAGGCACACCAGTGCAATAAACATTCTGATTTATCAATATTTTGATCTGCCAAACCTGTGAGGTGGATGGATTATTTCGGCAAAGGAGAAGCGTTCACCAACACAATTTTAGACGGATTGGTAAACCATATTCAAAAGCCTTTGGCGCACATATGAAAACATTTTCGATTTTTGAATTCAGCTCATGAAAAACGCAAGCGGAAACGAGAGCGTGGCTGGATAATTTTGTCCCGTTCCGCAATCAGACCATCGGAATCTACTATCGGCCCTCACGTCTAATCAACAGTTTTCATCATTAATCACCTAAAAAAAAATAATAATAAATCGTTGCTTTGGAATGATTGTCAAAGGAATCGACTTGATGAGATGTGTCGTCATTTGGATTTTCTGGCAAGAGCCGAAAGAGCGAAGCAGCTGCTGCTGGAAGCCGTCGGCTGCGTTCACGTTTTCCAGATGACCAAGCGGCGGGACTGTGAGTCAACATGCGCAGCTGCATGTGGACAGCGCCTCCGCATGCATCCTCACAGGATGTGGCATCCCGGACCACTACATAAGGAATTTAAGAAAAAAAAAAAAAAAAAAAGGAGGTGGTCTCGAGTTCACTGGGTCACGTGTGTCCAGCTGCAAATGACACAAATCAAAAGTTGTTTCGAGGCAAAATCTCGCCTCACCAAACATTCCCCAATAAAATTTCATAATCCATAATCCATTCTTGATTTGTTAATCCAGGCCGGATTAGGCAACATTTCATGATCCCCCCCCCCCCTCAATTCAGAGATCGGGCAAACTGGGTTTCTAGGTCATATGACATGTAGCCTCCGTATGAATGTCATCGGTGCTAAATATAGCACGCGGGACGTTCGGAGTCTCCGTTTCATGCCTCCGCTCACGAGCTGCGGCATTCCTCGGCCAAAAGGAATAACCTGCCGCCTTCTCTTCGGATTTCATCAGGGCTTTTGTCACCTCCGCGTCTAATTTAGAACACATGAGCGGGAAGTGAGGCCCGGGGATGAGAGCGCGGCAGCTGCGCGGCGGCAGCGGACTGTTGGGAATTCCCGACTCAATCAAAGCCGGTGGGCCGTTTTTGTTTGTTTTTGGTTTTTTGGTTGTTTTTTTTTTGGATGTTTAGACACAATTCACAAATGGCATTTTAAAAATGACATGGCAGCTGAACAAAAAGATGCGCTTTGGAAGCATTTTCTCGCCATGTTCAGCATTCCAACAGCCCCCCCCCCGGCTCGGCCCCCCTGGGGCAAGTCATTTCTTTCCACCCAACCATGACCAAAAAACAAGTTTGTTCATTTTGTTGTTTGTGTGTTTAACGGTTTGCACCGTTCAAGAAACGGCTCAAAGTATTTGCTGGGTTGTTTTTCCAAGCCACTCGCGGGGTAGCTGGCTGCGGATTTCGAGCAGATTTGGGTTACTTTTACCCAAAGTGGCGTTCGGGATTTTAAGGCAGCAGATTTCAGTTTGAAGCCTGATTTGTGTGGGCCGAAGAGTTGAGGTTCGCCCATTTTGGTCCCGTTTCTTGCGAAATGACGTTGAAGTCAATTGAATGTAACATGTTGATGGCGGCTGAATGGCTCGCTGGGGACCTCTTTTCCGATCAACTCTTCAAATTCTATCAAAGTGCTATTGAGATAAAGTAAGAACTGCCACCATACATCGGATCACAAAGCAGACAACCCCCCAAATCATCCAGACGACGGCTCGTGTGTCTCTCGAGGCACGGCTGCGGTTGCTCCAACGCTAAAGCGCGCACATCAAACTTCAGCTTTGCGTCTTACCTCCAGCACGGGCCCGGCTCCCAGGATGATCTGCTCCACGCCGCTGGCGAAGCCCTTCTGGCTGAGGGCGGTCAGGTGGTGGATGAGAAAGTTGGTGCTCTGCGTCTTCCCCGAGCCGCTCTCGCCCGAAATGACGATGCACTGGTTCCTGCGCCGCTGCAGCATGGCGTGGTAGGCCACGTCGGCCACGGCGTAGATGTGCGGCTCCAGCTTGCCCAGCGCGTGGTTGTCGTACAGTTTGACGTACTTGGGGTTGTAGATGGGCAGAAACTGGAAGGGGTTGACCACGATGAGGATACTCCCGATATACGTGTAGATCTTCTCTTGGCGGAAACGCGCCCGCAGGCTCTCCAAAAGGGCGCGCTCCGTCAGTTCGGGCAAGGCGCAGAGGTCCGTCGGGGGGTCGCTCCCCGCCGGCTGGGGGAGAAAACCCCGCTCCACCATGCGGCGGCGCTCCTCGGTCACCCGCAGCCACATCTGGAGGCTGCCGCCGTAGTGGATGGACCCGTCCAGGTTCTTTTCCCGCAGGAGGAAACGGTAGTCGTCACCGCTGCCCAGGCCGCCGCGGTTCTCCAGCGCGCTCCTGGGCCACAGCATCATGCGCTGCACGGGGCAGTCGCCGGGGTTGAGGATCCACTCCTCGCCGCCGAACTCCTTGACCTCGGCCAGGACGTAGCACTTGGTGCGGTCCAGGCGCAGCCGCTCAATGAGGCACTCGATGGCCTCGGCCGCCGTGGTGTTCTTGCGGGCCGTGACGGGGCAGTAGATGGTGCCCTCGGCCAGGGAGCCCGGGTACACGCGAAGGGTGAACTCCTGGTCCTCCAGGCGCCGCCGCATGCTGCCGCTGGCGGCGGCCATGTTGGCACTGCTGGCGTAGCTGCAGCTGCCATCTTGTACGCTCATGGTGGCACAGCCGCTCCCATCAGCACTGCGCGCTCTCCGGGCACTCTGGCAGGAACTCAGGACATTCCAATCTGAAGGAGACAAAGGCATGTTGAAAACGGCACGCCGAGTCCGGCAAACATTTGGAGGGTTAATTATTCCCCCCCCC